AGTTTCCCTTCTTGACAGGCAATTCTAGCTTGTTCATTTGCTGAAAAGGACTATAAGAAAACAACAGCAGCTGCAGTAAGAACACTGCAAATGTGTTTTGTTTTAGGAATGGGTCTCTCTCTTGCTGTTGGACTTGGATTATACTTTGGAGCTGGAATATTCTCCAAAAATGTTCATGTTGTGCATTTAATTAAATTAGGCATCCCGGTAATAAATATTATTTAACAACAAATCAAATATCAAAACCATGATAATCATAATTATCTAATTTTCTTCATATAATAATAATTCTCAGTTTGTGGCTGCTACTCAACCAATTAATTCTTTAGCCTTTGTGTTTGATGGAGTCAACTATGGAGCTTCTGATTTTGCATACTCAGCATGCTCTCTCGTAAGTTCACACATGCCATTTTTTCATTCTCTATGATATTTAGCATCTTTTTATCCAAATTTATTCATTCTTTGGTTATGTTGGATATTTATCGATTGGTTCATTTTTAAAATTAAATTAAAGATAAAGTAAATCTTTAATAAATTTCTTTGTTTGCCCAGGTGGTGGTTTCCATAGTAAGTGTAGCCATAGAATTTCTTCTCTACAGGACCAAACATTTCATTGGGATTTGGATTGCATTAACCATATATATGACTCTTCGAATGATGGCTGGTGTATGGAGGTAATTAAACTTTGCATGTTGTACACCATTTTCGTACTGCTTTAATTTTCATGATACTATAACTTTTCTTGCAGTAAACATAAGCATGAAAAATAAAATTTTAAAAAAAGGAATTTAATCACACTTTGTGATATACAGAAGAACTGCTACACAAAATAGAAGTAAAAAACTTCAATATTTTTTAATAGTAATAATAGCATAATCTAAAATGTATATATATACAAAAACCTAATTGGTTGGATCGTGCTTCATAATTGGACATGCAGGATGGGAACTGGGACAGGACCATGGCGTTATCTCAGAGGTTGTTCATTGACTTAGCACATATTATGTAATGACCAGACAAATTTTGTTGTCGAGATCTGATTTCATATCACGTTCTCACTTTCCCCTTATACATAGCAACTTTATTATATATTTTTGTAATACATCTAGGTTTGCTTCATTCACACTTATTTTTTTACTTTTTGTAATACATCATTGTTTCATATACACGTTGTATATATCATGTTGTGGTTTTCAGAAGATTCATAGTCATATGTTGTGTTTTTTCATTGCGTAAAATTTCAGGTTATCATTTACTTCAATTTTTTCAAGCCACGTTAAAGCATGCAATTAAAATTTGTAAATTATTATTGGAACCACACACAAAAAAAAAAGAGTAAGGGTTGTTGATAACAAGGGTATATATTTCCAATTTGTTGTAATATTTGATTGACTTCTATTATAAAACGATTATCTGTATTGTTGATCAATTTACGAGAAAATATGATTATTATCAATTAAACCATCGATTAGGTCATCACTAGTTGAGAACTCTTCTGAAGTTAATAAATACAAGTTTGAAAAAATAAGAAAACATAAGACGACTGAGACTTCTTAACTAAATCCAAGAAGCTTCTCATGCCACACATCTAGACACCTAAATTCCACGTACTCATTATCGTTTAAGGTTTTATATTAGAAGTGACATTTTATTCTCAAGCTATTCTTCTCCTTGTTAGCTAGTATTAGTCATTTGATTGACTTGTTCGTTACTATTACATCATGAAGACATTTAATGTAAACAAAAAAGTTATAATAATAGTGAGCAAATACATAGAGTCTTTAAAGACCATTTTCAATCTCAACAGCCTTCACTATAGCTAATTTTAGTTATTAATAATTAATATATTTTAAAACTCTATAAAATGATATGACAAGGGTTTTGTTCTGAGAAATTTACTAACATTTATTGTAAAAAGGTTTTGAAGTTTCTGTATATGATTACAAAATAATAGGTATATATGCAGCACTAGTAGGGAGGATATATCTCTCAAAAAAACCAGTCCAATCTCTATAATTAAGTAATTCTTGTAATTAAGTTAATTCTTATAACTAATCTTGAAAACTAGCTAATGCAACAAATCAATGTATATTTGGTAATTTATTACACAGTGAATCAATTAAAAATCTCAACAACATGATTAGATTTTGAAGACCAATTAAAATTTTATTCATCTTATTACAAAGTCTCAAATATGGTCACAAATATTTAAAGTAGTTATTGATGTGCTTTGAATCACAATGAAAGAGAAAAAAAAAACTAAAGAAAGTTGTATGATAAAACAATAAGTTGCAAGGGAATACTTAAAGGTAAAAAGAAAAACACTTTAAAGATTTTCATATGTATCTTTTTTTAACTCTACGTAGTTATTTGAGTCTGGGTACAATAACTATTCGGATTTTTAGAATAAAATC